CTTTTTTTTTTTTTTTTTTTTTTTTGCAATCTTGCTTTGTTTCCACATTTTGCCATTTGCTACAATGGGGGATACTAGTAGTTTCTATTGAGAAATGCTACAAAAACACAATATTCATGCTTTATTGTGCATTGTAGGTCCATAATCAAAACAGCATATGAGCTTTATTTGAATTGGTAGCCCTGCAATGGAGGGAGTTTAGTCTTTTAGTCTTAGCACATAGTTATTGAAAATTAAACTCAATAGGCATAGCATTTTTTTTTTTAATCCTGCCAGCAGGTCTGCCAGCGGGCCCTATTAACATCAGGCATTGAGAGAAGACATTTTTGCTGCAGATCAAGGTTGATGTGGCGTGGATGGAGCATCTGTCAAGGTCCTCTAGAACAAATTCTACTGCCTCCCATCCCTTATAGGTTTGTGCTCTGTAAACTTAAAACCATGTACAGCAGTTCAGGGGTTGATTCCATGTTAGCAGTGCCCCAATATACCATAAATGCATTAATGTATCATGTTTACATCTCATGGTCAACACATACAGACAGGTGAATGTGAGAATTGACAGAAATGCAGCTTCTATAGACTATAGGATATAGTCTGCATCTCATGGTGTAAAATGGTTGAGTAAATGTCTATCACTTCCATATATGGCTTTATGTTATGTGTGTTTATAGAATATCTAGGGAAGGGTGGTCACACCCAGAGCTTCCTTAGCTCCAAAACTCCATTAGACCATCAAAGAGCAAGGTAAATTGCTGGGAGACCATCAGGGTAGATTGGTTTACCTCAGATCAACAATGTAGGGGGTGCTTAATCGTCTCAAACAGTGCACTGTGGCCATTCAACCTGCTCTGGCAAGCAGTAATTCTCCCTAATCCTTCCACCAGCTCTCACATTAAGGCCTGGCTCTACTTGAAAAGTATGATAGCACACCCTCTATATCCTGTGTCTTTCTACTACAATGCTCATTGTATTTCAACCATCAAACAAGTGCCACCTGGCCTGGTATTGCTAAAATTGCCACAGTCATCTCTCTACTAACAGGAAGAGCCTTACAGTGGACCATGCCATTTTTGAATGTCAGGGTAAGGAGGTATATTTCTTTGACTTCATTTCTCTACTTTGATTCGTATTACACCAGAGGGAAAGGAATGTGAAGAAAGAGTGCTGTGCCTCACTCAGGGGTCATGTTTGGCTGCTGATAATGGCTATGTTTTCATACCTTAGTGGCCATGCACAGCTGGAACAAACTGGTAATCTGCTGTCTCTTCCATAAACGCCTTCAGGAGGATGTACAGAAAGAACTGGTTTGTTATGAGAATCTGGCCCTGGCTCTTATCTTTATCTCTGTTCAATTGGATAACCTTCTATGAGAGCGAACATGCCTTAAATTCCCACTGGTTCTGCATTTCAACCTAACTTCAGATCAAGGAGAAGAGCCCCTTCAACTTAATTCATTGGGTTTGTCTGCAGAAGAATGTAGAATAAGACAAAGGTCAAGCCTGGGCCATCTTCAGCAGCAGCGAGTGAATTTCAGGTGATGAAAGCTCCGTGCAGAAGTGGGGCATCAGGATGGATCAGGCAGGTCTCCAGAGAGCAGAAGGAGTCAGGCTCACTGATAACCCGAGAGTAGCAAATGTAGCTCGACAGAGAGGGGGGCAAATGGGGGGCACAGATTATTAGGTGTGCTCTTGTACTGTAATAGTTTAAGAAGATGTGCATTGTGTGCAGAGGGCAAGCAGTGATTCCGGCAAGACTAGATATGACAGCATAACTAAAAGGGAGAGCCAGAAGGTAACATAGACATGAGAGTGCCCTGGGACATACTAAAGTGGCCAGCCACTCCATCGTCAACAAACCTGAGCGAATGCGTGAGAGTGGGGGATGTGGGGTGACAGCATCCAAACATCCCAGTTTATCAAAACACTCAAGGCCCATCATCCCTCCAGATCTGTGCTTTTACCTAATAGAAAAACTTATTAACAAAATGCTTGAATAAATGAATAAATGAATAAATAAATAATAAGGATTGCATCAAACCATTGACACGTATTAGAGACACAGATAGGTGTGCACACTATTGAAGCAGTCATACTGCCAAAAAGTAATTGTCCTTTACAGACTTACACAGATTTTTTTATTTTTTGAATTTTAGATAAACATTCTGAAAACCTACACTCTTGCCTTAGCAGCTGAGTTCAAAATATATTGTAACCAGAAACTAATCTCACTAGCTTTTTTTTTTACAGAAAACAAAATAGTTAAAGATACTTTGTAACTTGTAAGCAAAATGTTTGAAAGCTTTTGTCACAGATACTTAGACATCAAATGTCTTACCAAATTGGACTAGGATATAGACCACTGTTTATTATAAAATGGCTTCATGTGTTTATAATGACATTTTTCATGTCAATACCAGAATCAGCATCTAACTACATCTCCCACCACACGGTGGGATCTAACACCACACGGCCTTCAAACATGGCTGCCATGGACTCCACCTCCCAGCACACGCATTCTATCGCACCTGATTACTGATCACAAACACCTGGACTTAATTATACAGCCACAGTATATAAGGACTCTCATGCCACTTCCTTATTGTGAAGTATATGCTCTGTGTTGAATACCAGTCATCACCAAGCCTGTATATTTTCATAGTCATTCTGGTTTCATCATTTTTGCTCGTGCCTAGCCCTCATTGATACTGTTTGTTCATTGCCTGACCTTAGCCTGTTTTTTTGACCTTGTTTTTGCTTTACGTATTAGATTTGTCTGCAAGCTTGAGTACCTGCAACTGCATCCGTATTAGCTGCCTGACAACATCATAAACCAGCTGGGTTTCTAATCTGTATATTTGTTCTTGCAATTTAATCCTTTAGTCATCAAAGTTACATAGAAACAAGCATAGATTTGAGCACACAGAATGACATATGAACAAATCTGCGTCTGATTCATGAAACTGTAGTATGAGATGAAAACGGGGGTGATTTGAGTGGAAATGATGAATCAGTTTCAGTTGCCTGGACATAAGCACTTGCCCACTAGTCACTTATTTACAAGTCATTACAAGACGTTTTGTCAGGTTAGTGCATAAAGTGTGATGAACTACAGTACCCATCAGCCACTGCAAGTCACATAATCACATCAGATATTCCACTGTTCATTCACACCTGTTACTTGTTTCACCCAAATGAGCACCACTATTTAAGTTCAAGTTTTTCTGTGTCTGGTTGTCAGACTTCTGTTGCAGTTGTTACTTTGCCTGCCATAGTCTTGCCCATAGTCTGTATGTTTTGTTGTTTTGTGTTTATTCACCGCTGTAGTTGCTTATTTTACACCGTGCACAATAAAAGTCTACACTTGCATCCGCCTTTGCCTCCAGTACATGACACCTTTACACTCATATACATTTGATTTACCTGAAATGCACCCTAATATATACAGGTATTATGATAGTGAGGCAGTAAAATAAAAGCATTCAGCAAGCTACCAAGATCCAGAAAGAGCCATCCAAAGATTCCAAGTAAATTGAAAAAGGGGAAGCTGAGTTAGAAGTGCTTTTGTACAGGATTGTTATGAACGTGTGCTGTTTCTTTCTTTCTTTTTTTTTTTAAATAAAACTGTAAAATCAAACCCTTTTCCACCATTACCTAACCTGCAGCTTATTCTGTAGACTCTATTTATAGCTAGGCTTCATTTAATTCATTTAGAGCTCAATTATGTCAAATTTAACTGAAGTTAGATTTAATTAAAGCTTTATTTATAAATATAGTCACAACTCCATACTGAATGTAGAAAAAAATGCAGAAAAAAAATTCAACAGCAGACTACCAAAATGAATAAAATGTTTTAGCACTGATATGAAATTATATAACAATCATGGAAAATTCACAATGATATCTAATTGTCATGAAATAGCCTTGGAGTTGTTCCAAGACTCTGTATCCAGCTAAATATTTTATGGTGCTTCTTGTCCACAAATGTGCCCCATTACTCAGCTAGAGGATTAATGAGCTGATAAAGACGGACATTTGCATATTCTGATTTACATTTACAAAAGTTATCTATATTTTATTACAAGGTTCACACATGCACACATACTTGCTATACTTACTGTATTGATGATTCTGATCTTGATTTCCATTATTTTACAGCATATCAAGCATTTTTCTAATTGTTAAAATGACATGAGTTTGATCATACAGATGTGTCAAAGATAAATTTGATTCAGCAAATTGTCAGTAGAATTTTCATATTCTCAGTTTACAATCAGATTTAACTGTAGGCAGCAATACAAGGCCATGTACTACTATTTACTATTACTATTGCCCACATGCTTACACACACATAGAGAATTTGTTATTCTTCTAGCATAAATCTCTCTCTCTCTCTCTCTCTCTCTCTCTCTCTCTTGCACACTCCTTCTCTTTCTCTCTATTACTCACTCTCTCAATCTCTGCCTGGAATCAGAGTTGAAGTTAAAGGTCAGGTTTGATCCACCCCC